AGGTCCAATGGGACATGCAATTCCTGAATACTTTTTCTGCAGCAGCTGAAAACATATGCTAAATCTTGGTGACATTGTGTCTGATGATTTTGGTAAGGAATAACAAACTAGAGCTGGGGACCTTCTCCAGAAAAATAGAAAAATCTTCTGGATCAACCATTAAAAATAGCTTCCCTAAATAACCTCCTATTTTAGGGGAACATTAGTTGGGTACAAGGTTTTCCGCAAGCTTCATTCAGTTCTCATTTTGGTCTTGTTCTGTTTTAGCTCTGCTTCCCATCGGACTTGTTCTTCATTCCATATTCTTGTTTCTCTGGCTCATTCTAGATGCTTTTCACAAGGGCAGAGTTCAAACCAAGAATATTTTGAATGCAGAGGGAATGTTCTACCACTGAAGCCCAGCAGCTTCTGAGCTAGCTTTGAAAGGAAACTTAAGATTTCTTGATCTTTTCATCTAACTTCCTCTTACAACTCACCTTCTCTCAATCCAATACTGGCAACCCATTCAAGCCAATATGGGCAGAACATTTAGGGAGAGTGATGGTTTAAAATCCAGTCCATACTTACCCCAAGACAGGGTGTGTGTTAGCTCGGCACTTGATTCCACAATTGTCTCAGCAAGGATCAAATCTTTCCTTCCCTTGATTTTCCCCCCCCACAGGTATTTATCAGTTTCCTGCTCGTCTTGCCCTTTGATCCTCTACTCATCTGTGAGCAGCTGTGAATATGGGCTGTTTGTGCAATAAGTAAATGTCATTAAAACATAGCTATTTTATAAGGAGGACAACTGCAGTATAACCAAATAAGGCTAAACAGGAGCCTTTATCAGCAATATATCTTTGGACATATTCCAAAACTCCTTCTGTATATATTTCAAGAAGATTTCCTAGTGCTTACTCAGTTTCAGAGACTGGCATACTGTAAACAATGGGATGTCGTAGAGAATTGGTTGTTAAAGTAATCAAGAGAGAGAGAGAGAGGAAGGGAGGTAGATATGTGGTGTGTGTGAGAGATGATGATAGATAGATAGATAGATAGATAGATAGATAGATAGATAGATAGATGGGTGGGTGGATGGATAGATGGATGGATAGATGGATAGATTGATGAGAGAGATATAGATATATGGTATATAGATATATGGGAGAAGAGAGAGATGAGAGAGAGATATAAGATAGATAGAGATGTGAGATAGATAGATGGATAGAGAGATGAGAGATATAGATATATGGTATATGGGGGGGGAAGAGATGAGAGATGTGATATGAGATAGATAGATAGATAACCATGTTTCCCCGAAAATAAGACCCTGTCTTATATATATATATATTGAACTCTGAAATAAGCACTTGGCTTTATTGCCATGCGCTCAAAAGCCCAATTGGGCTTATTATCAGGGGACGTCTTATTTTGGGGAAAACAGGGTAGATGGATGGATGGATGGATAGATGAGAGTGATAGAGATAGATATATGGTATATAAATATATGGGGGGGGGGAGAGAGAGATGAGAGAGAGAGATGTGAGATAGATGATAGATAGATAGATAGATAGATAGATAGATAGATAGATAGATAGATGATAGCTAGAAGATAGATAGATGATAGATGGGAGAGAGAGACAGATAAAGATAGATGATGAATGGATAGAAGGATGGATGGATGGATGGATCATGTAAGATTAATTTCCTTACGCGCATAAATAAAACGTTTATTAAAATCAAGTGTTTGCAGTTTCTTGAAAACAGGAAGGGAGGGATTGATTCTCGCCTGATCTGTGCAGGATGAATGGCTTTGTTTTCCTAACCTTTTTCTCCACCGTCCTTTCAATATTTCAAATGTATTTTTATTCTATTTTCCTAAGCTCATAGGATTGCAAATCATTACAGCTGATTTGAAAACTAATTGCCATGGGGAAGCCATGCAATAACAATAAAGACTAAACTATAATTTAAGAAATGTTGGTCTGAATGCGTTGGCTAAAAATACAATTGTCCACATAGTATTTCTTAGCAAAATACTGTCAAGGCACTAAATTGAGTTTCCAACAAAACTTAAGACATCTGGGCTGCTCTGCGCATGCGCCATCGTCAGGATTTCCTTATTCTTTTCCGACGTAATTACAATATTCTCCCGCCAGGAGGCATTTATATTTCCTCCGCCCTCCCATTGGCTATCCATTGTGGAAGACCCGCCCTTTTCTTGAACGGAAGAATACGGCGCTGCTTTTGCTCCGCCCTTCATTTTGGCCTGCCGCTTTGCGGTTGCTATAGTAACCGTTCAAAGAATGGTTTCCCTGCCGTTGCTCCTGCTGTGGTTTTTCGTTCCCCTCCTCTCGTTTTCTCCTCCCAGTTCTGTCTCACTTTTGTCCCTCCTAGAGATTCTTAAACAATATAAAATAAGAAATATAAAACTAGACTTCCGGTCTGAACAATTTTTCCCTCCTCCATGGAGGCAAAATACAACGTCGCTCTATCTTTAACGTCTCTATGGAAAAAAAGGGCATCGAGACTGTAAGGGATAGAGTGGCACCATTTTTGCCTGTACAATACAGTCCTGTACTTTTGAATCCATGGCATTCAAAATAATGGCATTTTTGGAAAATAAAAAGTGTAGTTTTACTGTCCTAAATCTGAAGTGCTGCTTTGGAGAGCTGTAAATCAGCCATGACAACTAAGAGAATAAAGATCAGTCACTGCTTTGAATAAAAGTACAGGTAGTCCTCGACTTAACGACCACGATTGAGTCCAAAATTTCTGTCGCTAAGTGAGACATTTGTTGACTTTGCTGGTCAGAAGGTTGCAAAAAGTGGATCACATGACCTTGGGACACTGCAATTGTCATAAATGCGAGTCAGTTGCTAAGTGGCTGAATTTTGATCACGTGACCATGGGGATGCTGCAACGGTCACAAGTATGAAAAGCAGCCATAAGTCACTTTTTTCAGCGTCGTTGTAAATTCAAATAATCACTAAATGAACAGTTGTAAGTCAAAGACCACCTGCAAAGTGTTGTAAATAGTAATGTGAATACACCGACTTATTCTGAAATGGTAAATTTAAATATATTTAAAATCTCAGTGAATTTTAATAAGGCTTTCTCTAATAAATGTGCAAAGAAAAGCAGGTAGATTTGCACTTCTAATTCGGTGTCATTGTGTGTGAAATGAAAAGTTGTGTAGAACGACAGTTCCCATTCAGAGTAATCCCCTTTAAACTCAATGAAAAAGAAGTAGATTTAGAAAGAAGTAACTTGTAATGGAGAATTTGACATACTAATTGCATGTAATGTGTGTGTAATTAGTGACTAGACTAATTGTGCTGTTATTACATTGCAACAAAACGTTTAAGTCTGGATCCAACTGAATAATCTTCATTTTGATCTGATATATATGTGGGTGGAACTGTACAATTACGTGCATGGACTATACACCTAATTCCATAACTGATTATGCACCAAATTGTTATTTTTTAGTGATCACATAGTTAGATTATATTCTGGATTATCTGTTTCTGGTCTGGCTTCTCAAGTTTTCCCACAGTGCTTATAATGAGGTTCAACGATCATACTACAATGTAAAGTGTCTATTTGTTTTGGCTTAGTATTTCATTGCATAGTTCAGCCATTAATTGTTGTAAACCCGTTGGCAGCCCAGAGTTTTTTTTGGGGGGGTGGGCAGACTTAATAAATTTAATACTAATGTGAATTTCTTCCATAAGGTAGGACTAATCTGGCCCTAATTTAGCCTGTCATATGAAGAGCATCTATACATCATTTGCATATATGTTAAGTCATTGTTGTGAGCTGCCCAAAGTCAGAGGATATTTCTTGTATATTGGCTTGTTGCAGTCAGACAGGTCTTGAGACTGGATTTGGCATTTTTATCCACCTATTGAGTCCTTCCCATGGACCTGGGATAGGAAAATGTTTGCATTATAATTATTATTATAGTTGGTTGCAGTTAGCCAGCTATTTACACTGGACTTGGCATTTTTATCCACCTATCAAGTCTATTATTATTATGCCATATCTTTAAAATTGATTCTTCTGACAGTTCACCAATGCACAAGCAGCTTAAATACTTATTATTCAATTCTGGAAAGACCAACATACAGCCTTCAACTATTCCCTGGCCTGCAAAATTGATCTATCTAGATCAGCGGTTCCCAACTGCGGGGGTGGGTGGGGTGCGAGACGGTATTCTAGGGGATGCGAAAACTTGGGATTAGAAGTTTCAAAATGATAGTGTATATGCATAATTATATCCATATAATTATTTATTTTTGTAAGGAGTGTGTGAATGTATCAGAATAGAATGGAATGGAATGGAATGGAATGGAATAGAATAGAATAGAATAAAATAGAATGGAATGGAATGGAATGGAATTCTTTATTGCCCAAGTATGATTGGACACACAAGGAATTTGTCTTGGTGCATACGCTCCCAGTGTACATAAAAGATACGTTCATAAGGTACAACACTTAATGATAGTCATAGGGTACAAATAAGCAATCAAATCGTATTAGGAAACAGCTCTCTGAGCTTCTTTTCTGGCAGCTAGAAATATTCTCTACATGGGATGTATGTATATTTGTGAATATAGGCCTTCTTATATTTTTTTATTACTTTCAATATTTCCCTCCTCCCCTCTTCTCTTCCACACACACACAAAAATGTGGAATTTGGGGCATGCTTTTCTCTCTCTTCTTTGCAGGGTGAAAAATAATTTTAACAATTATTTAATTTCAAAATAATTTTATTAAAAACACATACACACACAGACAAAAGCAAAAATCAACTCAGGGTTGCCCGGGGCAACCCTGAGCTTTCTGCAAACTTCCTCCTCCCCCTTCCCAAACCGGAAGTGGCGAAAGGGGTCCCGCCTCCTGCTCTCCACTCCCACCCCACCCCCGCCGCTCTCTGGCCGGGACCCGCTCGGTGACGCCACTTCCGGCGCGTGGCCCATAGAGTCCCCTCCTGCGGCCCCTCTTTCCGGCCGGGTGGGGGAGGGGGCTGGGGGCGCGGCTGAGGCGGCTGTTGCTGTTGCGGGCGCTGCGCCTGTGGCGAAGGAGACCCCGCCGGAGGAGGAGGAGGAGGAGGAGGTGAGGCGACCCCCCCCCCTACAAACACACTTCGAGCGGCGGGGAAGGGAGGGCCGGGCTGGGACTCGCCCCCCCCCCGCCCTTCCCCAGGGGACCCCCCTCCTTTCTCCCGGGGGGGGGGCTCGGTCGGGGGCTTTCTTTCGGGGAGGGCGCGGAGCTGCCGGGCGGGAAGCCCTGAGGGGGTGGGGGTGGGGGTGGGGGTCGTTCTCCGGCCACCTTCCTCCAACCTGGCGCCCGCCGGAGGGGCTGCCATGGGCTCTCTCCCCTCCCCCACCCTCAGCATGTCTTCCCCCCCCCTCCCTCCTTGCGAAGCAAATGAGCAAGATGATGGGAGTTGTAGTCCAGGTAGGTTTGGGGGGGGTTGTCGGGGGGGGGAGTCGGGGAATCAGCTGTTTCCAACCTGGCGCCCGCCGGAGGGGTTGCCATGGGCTCCCGCTCTCCCCGCTCCCTTCCTTGCCAAGGTGATGGGAATTGTAGTCCAGAGCCCCTAGATTTAGCTGGGGGGTCGGGTGGGGGTGGGGGTGGGGGGAGTCTGCTGCTGCGGCCCCCAAACCTGGTTGCAGTGGGGTCCTGCTCTTCCCTCCCCCACCCTCAGCAGCTCCCCCCGTCCCTTGCAAAGCAAGTGGGGAAGATGATGGGAGTTGTAGTCCAGAGCACTAGAAATCTCCAGGATTGGTTGTGGGGGGGTGGGGTGGGGGGTTCTGCAGCTGTCCCCAACCTGGTGCCCTCAAGAGTTACTGCAATGGATTCCCAGGTGGGCTGGGCTGGGCTGAGAAGGAGGGGCTGGCTCAAAGTCACCCAGTTGTGGGTGTTCGTGCCTAAGGTGGGACTAGAACTCACCATCTCCTGGTGATTGGCCCAAAGTCACCCAGCTGCCTTTCATGCCTAAGGCGGGACTAGAACTCACCATCTCCTGGTGATTGACCCAAAGTCACCCAGCTGTCTTTCATGCCTAAGGTGGGACTAGAACTCCCCATCTCCTGGTGATTGGCCCAAAGTCACCCAGCTGGCTTTCATGCCTAAGGCGGGACTAGAACTCCCCATCTCCTGGTGATTGGCCCAAAGTCACCCAGCTGTCTTTCATGCCTAAGGTGGGACTAGAACTCCCCATCTCCTGGTGATTGGCCCAAAGTCACCCAGCTGGCTTTCATGCCTAAGGTGGGACTAGAACTCCCCGTCTCCCAGTTACTAACCTGGTGCCTTAACCACTACACCAAACTAATAAGCCACAATTGGGGAGAACAGCAAATGTTGTGCTTCCATTGTACGGCACTTTTAGTCGTGGTTTATGTAGTGAAGATAATCTCCCTCCGATCCTGTTCAATCTTTTGGGGAGTAAACCTTGAGTGCTGCTTGAGTAAGGACTATGTGACTCTTCTCTTCAGCCTGCTGTTCATTGAAGTCCCTTTTCAGTTGCCAACAGGACAAAATAGAGAAGAAAATATTCTTCTATCCGTCAGAACTTTATAAACTTGCTATTCATGAAAGAATTGAGTTGAAGAGTTGAAAGTATTTGTTGCCTTTTTTTTTGTTTCGAATTAACTGCTGCTCTGAGTTATGGCCATACTTAGAATCGTGGCTAATTTGGGCCTTCGAGATTTCTCAAATCCAGCCTGTATCATGTCACTCACTGTGGGTTATATCATTATGCACAGAGAAAGTATTAGCGCCTGGAGGGGATAAGTTATTGTAATCCTATTAATATGCAAATGCACCTCTTGCACAACTGAGCTTTCCAGGCCAGGAAGCTCAGTGTAAGGTGCCTGCATTGGAACCAGAAGATGTTTAAAAAGTGTTCATAAGATCTTCTTTGGAAATTATTCTTTATCTGTTGCAGTGTATTTTAAACTTGCATCCGGAGTGCAGGAATGCAGCTATTATGTAGGCAGTTTTATGTACAGAAGGGACGCGATGGCTCAGTGGCTAAGACACTGAGCTTGTCGATCGAAAGGTCGGCAGTTCAGCGGTTCGAATCCTTAGTGCCACCTAACGGGGTGAGCTCCCGTGACTTGTCCCAGCTTCTGCCAACCTAGCAGTTCGAAAGCAGGTAAAAAATGCAAGTAGAAAAATAGGGACCACGTTTGATGGGAAGGTAACAGCGTTCCGTGCGCCTTTGGCGTTGAGTCATGCCAGCCACATGACCACGGAGACGTCTCCGGACAGCGCTGGCTCTTCGGCTTTGAAACGGAGATGAGCACCACCCCCTAGAGTCAGGAACGACTAGCACATATGTGCGAGGGGAACCTTTACCTTTATGTACAGGCAGTCCTCACTTAATGACCGCTGACTTAGCAATCAGGCAAAGTCGTAACAGCCTGACCAGATTTTGCAGTTCTAATGGTTGCAATTTTGGGGGGTGGGATTGCAACCATCCAGAACTTCAAAATCTGGTCATAACTACCTTTTGGTGGGCAGGCTGTTGCAACTTTGCACGATTGTCATATGGTTGCATTTTAGGTACTTGGTAATATGCTTGTATTTGCAGCCGCTTCATGTCTTGTAGCCATAGGGATGCTGTCCTGGTTTTAAGTGTGAGGACCAGCTGTAAGTGATTTTTTTTTTCCCAACACCATCATAACTTCAAACGGTCACTAAACAAATGATCAATAAGTCAAGGACTAACTGCAACTTAAGCATGTTTCAAATAGCGTTGTAGACCTGCAGAATTTTAGCTACTACCATTGTGGCTGTCCGAACTGATACTTCTGTTCCTGCATGCATGCATTGAATTGTCTTTGTAGTAAAAACCACCACCACCACAACAACTATAAATTGGTAACAAGCCTGAGTGTTAACAGGATTGCCGATGACCTTCCAAGCTGGTTTCACAGAACATTCAAGAGAGTCACGGGAAATTCTTGATGATTCGGTCTTTCTTAAAATAGCAGAGGGGGTTATTTTATTGCCGGTGGAGACAAGGCGCATATTTAATTTTAGCAAAACGTCCTATTGCTCTTTTGGAGGGTCTGTTTTGGCTAAAGTTATGCATCTTATCTGGGTTGAAGCTAAGTGCTTCGGCGCTGGCAGAGGAGTAGCTAAAACAAACAACAAAACAAAACAAAGGGAATTGTTCTTCCATTCTCCTTTGCAATTTGGTTTCTCACCACATCAAGAAATTCTGTTCCAATAATGATTCCCCCGATGTATTTCCGCCCTTTAATGATTGTGTGGCTGTTGCCTTTCATCCTTTGACCATCGGCTCATTCAATATTTATTGTCCCCTTATTCATTGTCTCCCTGTAGATGGCACTTCACGTGCCCCGTGCCCTGTGGTGTTTCTAAATTAAAATTGGATGTCGGGAAATAAAATAAACTTCTCTGGAAGGCAGACGTGACAAACAAAGGAAAATGGGTGCCCTAAAGCACAGGCACGGCAGAGGGTGGGGATATTATGGCATATATTTAACTTTAAATAGTACGTAATTCATCAGCTCTTGTTATTACATCTGAAAGTCACAATTGCTTTGGGGGAGGAGAGGAGGAGGAGGATGACAGACAGACACTTGAACTCATAATTGCCAGCTGCAAAGAGTTTTCTTGTTGCTTCTTGCCAGCCACCCAAGAGCCGCAAAATTTACTACAGGTAGTCAGTCCTTGACTTGCAACCACATTCGCTTAGTGACTGAAGTTACAACAGCACTTCAAAAAAAAAAGGGGGGGTGACTTACGGCTGTTTGTCACACGAGGACCGTTGCAGCCTCCCCGTGATCCCGTGTTCGAAATTGAGATGCTTGGCAACTGACATGTATTTATATGGCAGTTGCTAAATCCCGGGCTCACATGATCCCCTTTTGCCACCTTCTGACCACACAAAGCCAGTGAGGAAGCCAGATTCGTTTTAATGACCGTGTTAGTAACTGAGCACGCTGCAAAAGGGGGAAATCACATGATTCCCTGACGCGGCAACGGTCAATAAATGTGAGTCAGTTGCCAATTTTAAATCACGTGACCCTGGGGCTACTGCAAACGGACATAAGGGTGAAAAACGTATGTGAAAAAAAAAAGTGGTCCTAAGTCACTTTTTCCAATGCCGTTGTAACTTTGAACGGTCACTAAAGAAAACTGTTGTAAGTGGAGGACTAGGTTGTAAGTTAGTCTTTCAGTCTTGCATTGGCTTCTTGAATTTGGGCTGCCGAAATACTGTGTTTGCATTCAGCCCCTCCGCCATTTTTATCCTAACTCTGGAATCAAAGCCGCATATATAGCAACCGAGGAAGAAAGTTGGCTGCACCCATTTCTGAATGAAGATCACTCTGCATGCTTTGCTTAGACTGTAATGCCAAAACAACAATTGGTGGACATTGTGGGGTGGTGGTTTTTTTCCCCCTCTCCCCTTCCCTGGGGTTGTAAATCCTATTTTGCTCTCATTATGCAGGAACAGACCAGTTGCGTAGCATGATTAAGAGAAAGCGACAAAGATGTTTTCAAAGAAAATATGGCAGGAGGAGAGGCGGAAAGGGTCTCGTGCCCCCATACAATAAAATCATTTCTGATGCTGATTTGGGGTGGGTTTGTTCGTTTATTTTTTACTACAAGGAAGGCATCGCTTTGCAGAGAAATCTGGAATTCCATAATAAAAAAACATGGAATTGTGCGTGGGCTTTCTCCCCAGAGTGCTTTCATTTTGCAGCTCCTTGGAAGCAGGGTAGAGGAAGAAGTACCGTATTTTTCAGAATATAAGACGCATCTTTACCCCACGCCCAAAAGTGGGTGAAATTTAGGTGTGTCTTATAGACCGAATACGGGCATTTTTTGGCCTCCTGAAAAATAAATAAAAAAAGCTTTTGGCCTCCGCGCGTCGCATTTTTGCCCTCCCAGGCCCCTAGAAACACTCTGCAGGCCAAAAACGGGTGCGTTTTTGGTGAAAACAGGTGTATTTTTGGTGAAAACGGGCTGTGCGGAGCCCTGCAGAGTGCTCCTGGGGGCCTAGGAGAGCAAAATCCGACCCGCGGAGGCCAAAAGCTTTTTTTTTTTTTTTTCTTGTTTTCCTCCTGTAAATTTAGCTGCGTCTTATAGTCCGAAAAATACAGGTAATTATCCAGGCCCGTTATTTGTGTTTCAGGTATTCTGCGAAGGCTTCGTCTGGAGCCGCGTCCACCCGAACTCCTTTCTCGGCATAGCCATGATAAGCCCAGGATGAAGCTGGAGGCCGTTGTGGAACAGCTGCAGAAGCAGCAGCAGCAGCAACAGCAAGTGGCCCCTCTCCCGATGGAGTCCAGAGACCGGCCCCAGCGGCAGATGAGAGACCCACCCCTCCAGTTCCCTCAACAGATGACGGTCCAGCAAACTGGCATGGCTGCCACCTCCGGCAAAGTTTCCGGTGGGCCCATCCTTGGCCCATCCGCTAGAATGCCCCCCGTCCTGGCGGCTTCTCGAACATTTGACCAGAGTGCTCTGAACTCGGAGGAAGAAGAGGAGGAGGAAGAGGAAGAAGAGGAAGAAGAAGAAGGGGAGGAAGATTCAGAAGACGGCGACCTGGAGGGCAACACTCCCAGAACTGGCCAGGATGCGCGATCGGCTCTCAAATACTTTCACGCTTCCAAAGCGGTTTCCCACAACCAAAGAGTGACTCCTTCCTCTAAGCCTCTCCCAGTTCTGGGGGCCCAGCGGCATCTCCAGGGAAAGGACCAAGCAGGGAAAGAAACCCCCAACTTGCTCTATTCCGGCTCTTCCGCTGGGAGACCGATGTGGAGGCTGGAGGAGCAGCACAAGCAGGTCAGTCCAAAGGTTTTGCCACCCCCAACCCCACCCCACGCCCTGCCCCACGGATGCCATTGAAGCTTGTGGGTTTCGTTGCGTTGTGTTAGATGTGGCTCTTTCCTTAGTTACACAGGGAAAGCCGTGTGCCATAGTTGGTTCTCATCTTACGACCAGAATTGAGCCCAAAATTTCTTTTTTTTAAAAAAAAGTTTTTTATTTTTAAATAAAACTTAAAACAGCCATCATCCGTTACAATTACAGTAAGTGTATCGATCGGTTACGAATCTTTTGTGCTTAATCCCATATCCAAGTTGTCTTATTTGACTATTTATTATATCCCTTTATATTATTATTCTCATTTACCAATTATTTAACAATGGCTTATCTCCAATAAAAAAAAAACGCTTTATATATTTTATTATTACATCCATTTCATATTTCATTTCCATGCTTTGTTATCCAGCCATTGGTAAAATTTTACCAATAGCTGGATAATTGAGCCCAAAATTTCTATTGCTAAGCGAGACCACGGCGAAGGGAACTTTGACCCATTTTACGAATTTCCTTGCTGTGGTTGTTAAATTAGCAACACGGTTGTTAAGCGAGTCTGGCTTCCCTATGGATTTTGCTTGCCAGAAAGTCGCCCCCCCCAAATTGGTCCCATCGCCCCCAAGGCACCGCCACCGTCGTAACTATGAACCCAATTGCCCGGCATCCAAATTTTGATCATCTGGCCATGCAGAGGTTACTGCCACGGTCACACATGTGAAAAATGATTATAAGTGCCATTGTAACTTGGGATGGTCACTAAACGAACGGTTGTAAGACGAGGATTACCTGCATGAAGTTGGTCCCTTTGTTTTATTTTTATTGTTTTAGCCAGGCCCCTGTGAGGGAGTTGGGCCAGAAGATATCCAGTGGGATCCTTTGGGGAAGCCAAAAAACAGGAATCTGGCTCAGAAACTTTTAAATAAATCAATTTTTGACTGCAGCTGAGCTCTGGGAAGTGAGCCATTTCGCTTCTTAAGCCAGCTCTTCCTCCTCCTCCTCTTCCTCCTCCTCCCTTATTCTCCCCCCCCACCCCCAATTTAGCAGCAGCTCCTTTGCACGTTTCCTCATTTTTTTATGAGCAGAAGCCAAAACCTTCAGAGGCTCCTGACTGCCACCGTGAATTAAGCAAGAGGGAAATGCGCATAGAAAAAAAAAAGAAAAGAAAAGAAAGAAAGATGGTGGGCTTCCTATTTATACAGACCCTGGGAAGCCTCCCCACCCCCCACCTGCCCATTTCGCCTCACAAGTTGTGTTTGCAGTTCACACCAACAGCTTCAGGAGGGCCCCGGCCTTGAGAATAATAACGGGGCCCTTGTGCTTTCGGTGGCCGAAGAACCTTTGAAGTGTTGCAATTAAAAAGCAGGCCGGCTGATGCAACTAGGAGGAGTATTTTGCTCCTCCTTGGTGCAAGTTAGGCCTTTTGGCACACTGAATTCCAGAATCTCAGAGTGAGCGAGTGGCACCACCGGTCACGTTTTACCGTTTCTGGGGTTGTGTACCATCTGCACAAATGTTTTGCTGTCTGCAAGGGCCGAGGGGTAATTGTGTCGGATTCTTAACAGCAAATTCAAACGAAAAAAAAAAAAAACCAGCACTTTTTCTTGGTGTTTGAGTGCGTAATTGCATCCGCTTTTGTGGGGCGGAGGTTGTGTCATGCTTCTTGCGGTGTCTAGTGCTATTGTGGGGGCGGTTTGTGAGGCTTCCCTTAAGTACTTAAGCAAGCATCTCCTGGGCTATTGTTGAAAATAGAATAGAATAGAATTCTTTATTGGTCAAGTGTGATTGGACACACAAGGAATTTGTCTTTGGTGCATATGCTCTCAGTGTATACACACACACATATACCGTGTTTCCCCCAAAATAAGACCCTGTCTTATATTTTTTTGAACCCCAAAATAAGCGCTTGGCCTTATTTTCAGGGAGATATTATTTTGGGGTGCATGGAGCAAGATGGGGCTCCTCTTGCCGTCTTACCTGATTTCCAGCTCGTGTTTAAATATTTTTGGGGAGGGCTTATTTTAGCACGTGCGCTCAAAAGCCTGATTGGGCTTATTATCAGGGATGTCTTATTTTCAGGGAAACTGTGTGTGTGTATGTGTATAAGTGTTTTTCTATTGAGACACCTGGTCTACCCCAGCATGTGGGAAGGGAGCATATTGCATCCCTTTCGCCTTTCAGCTCCAATCCAGGAGCCCTCAAGCAGTCGCATTCACGACAAACCATTTTATACCAAATTTATATGTCACTGAATTTTTTTATCAGCAAAATATAAATTTTATATATGTGTGTGTGTGTGTGTGTGTGTGTGTGTGTATGTATGTATGTATGTATGTATGTATGTATGTACACTGCTCAAAAAAATAAAGGGAACACAAGCAGAAGACATCTGAGATTTGAATGAATGAAATAGCCTTATTAAATACTTCGTTCGGTACATACAGTAGTTTTGTGTTCCCTTTAGCTGTTTGAGCAGTGTATAAACTACTGTATGTAAAGAACAAAGTATTTAATAAGGCTATTTCATTCATTCAGATCTCGGATGTCTTCTGCTTGTGTTCCCTTTATTTTTTTAAGCAGTATATTTAATAAGGCTATTTCATTCATTCAGATCTCGGATGTGCTTGTGTTCCCTTTATTTTTTTGAGCAGTATATATATATTCGTTCAAGAATCGTAAGATACAACACTTAGTGATAGTCATAGGATACTAATAAGCAATGAAATCATGCTAGGAAACAGTAAAAGCAATATAAGTTGTAAAGATACAAGCAACGTGGATATAGCCATAAGTGGGAAGAGAGAAGTACTAGTAAGGATGAGAAGAAGAATGGTACCACTAAGAATGGTCTTAGTGGTTCAGGCTGCATTGAGAAGACAACTGAGTTGGCAATCGATGGCAAGCCGGTGAATCTAGCAAGACTCACCGTTCATTTTCAGAAAAGTAACTTGGCAGGTTTTTTCCTTCCATTTATTTCCCACAGTATTTCAATGCGCCCGTTTTATTGCCCAGCCTCTCAGATGGTGAGCACACTGATCCTTTTGAGAGTGGGTGCTTCAATCATCCTTTCATTTTTCCAGGATTTATTTTTTTTTTGCCTTCGGCTTCGCATCCGGGCTCAGGAATGCAGCCCCTGAGGAATGGGACTGAGTTTTGCTCTTTTCTCCCATGCAGAAAAAAAATCTATAAAGACCCATTTTCCAACCAGGCTTTTAAAAAAATAATTTGATGTGCAAGTTTTTTTAAGTCGTAAAAGGGGGCAAAACTCACTGAGCAAAATTTCTCGCTTTTAGCCACATAAATTTGGGGCTCCGTTGCATTCATAAATTGAGGACTACCTGAGAAAAAATGGTTATAGTCTTGAGAAGATGAGAGTAAGGATGAGATAATGAGAAAACTGCCTTCCTAGATTTGTTTGACAGCGTTGCGGGAATTAGTTATTTAGCAGAGTGATGGCAGGGGGGCAAAATGCCAGTGGATTGCAAAAGATCCTTCTCGTTTTTGCATGTTTGCTATAAGCTTTGAGGACTGGAAGCTTATTCATGTTACCGTAATTGAGGTTTACGCAAGGGATATTTATACCCCACGTGTATAAACGGTGCGCTGTGTGGGCTGTGCCGGAGAAGGGCTGCACTGAGAACAAACAAGCTTTAGTAACAACTGTTTGCTTTCTTAAACCTTTTCACCGAAGCAAAAGAAGCAGGAATTGCAGGTGGTCCTTGATTTACGTCCATGACTGAGCCCCAAATTCACGTTGCTATGTGAAACATTTGCTAAGTGAGTTTTGCCCTACTTTTACGACTTCGATCTTAACGATCGCTGCCGTTGTTAAATTAGTCACAGGGATGTTAAGTGAATCCATTAATACGGTTCTTAAACGCATCCGGCATCCCCCCCCGTTGACTTTGCTCAGGACACTGTGACCGTCATAATTATGAACCATTGGTCAAGCATCCGAATGTGAGTCCCCTGACCATGGGGATGCTGCAACGGTCCTCGGAGTGAAAAATGGTCATAAGTAATTTTTTTTTTTCAGTGCCGTGGTAACTTCGAGCGGCCACTAAAACAAACTGGAGGATGCCTTCGGCAGAATATCTGGAGAAACCTACAGTAGTGGCCAAAATTGTGGAAACCTTTTGGGGAAAGTGTATTTTTTAAAACTAGTTAATAACACCACTTTTTTGGGGGAGTAGTGCCATAAAATTATATATCAATGGAAAGATAATTTAATCAAGAACGTAATGCCATCACTTTTATGAAGGATTTGCTGTTAGAATAGCAGTTACAGTATAAAGAAGAAAAGTGAAACAGGTAGAAAAAACGAGATATGCAAAAATGATCACTGTATCAGTTAATCCTTAGTTGGGTAACCTTTAGCATGAATTATTACAGCCTTACAAGGTCTTCCCATGGAGTGAATCGAAGACTCCCTTTTAGCTTCTCCTCTCCAGTTCATGGAGCCATTTTTTTTTTTTTTGAGGGGTGGGTGGGTTTTGTGTTCATTGTTTCTAAGAATGTTTCCAGTTCAGCCTTTAATGAGGAGCTTCTTCCTCTGTGGGGGTCCCCATCGCTGTAAAATCCAAGCCATGTGGTGGCATGGTGTCAAATTCCACACCTAGGACACCGAAAGGATCTGGCCTGGAATCCAGATTTCTTTAGTGACTTTGTTTTAAGGTACTCGTAGAACTTAGGCTAGAGGGATGCGGTGGTTCAGTGGCTAAGATGCTGAGCTTGTCGATTGTTCGGCAGTTTGAATCCCTAGTGCCGCCTAACGGGGTGAGCTCCCGTGACTTGTCCCATCTTCTGCCAACCTAGCAGTTCGGAAGCATGTAAAAAAAAATGCAAATGGAAAAATAGGGACCACCTTTGATGGGAAGGGAACAGTGTTCCGTGCGCCTTTGGTGTTTAAGTCATGCCGGCCATATGATCACAGAGACGTCTTTGGACAGCGCTGGCTTTTCAGCTTT